TCTTTTCTTTTCTGTTTTTTTTAAAATTTTTTTTTGTGAGAAAGATCAGCCCTGAGCTAACATCCATGCTAATCCTCCTCTTTTTGCTGAGGAAGACCTGCTCTGAGCTAACATCTATTGCCAATCCTCCTCCCTTTTTTTCCCCAAAGCCCCAGTAGATAGTTGTGTGTCATAGTTGCACATACTTCTGGTTGCTGCATGTGGGACGCGTCCTCAGCATGGCCAGAGAAGCGGTGCATCGGTGCGTGCCCGGGATCCAAACCCAGGCCGCCAGTAGCGGAGCACCAGCACTTAACTGCCAAGCCACGGGGTCGGCCCTAAGTGCTTATCTTTTCTATCTGATGGTAAGATGGATAGCTGTGTCGAGAAATAGGTAGATGCAATACTTCCTAGAGGTGAGGTCGTGAGTAGAGTGAAAACATTATTTTTTTTCTAAAGTTTGATGAAAAAAATTTTTGATGAAAATCTTTATCCCACAATTGTTTATCCCCTTTTAATGAGTCAGTTACTGTATTGGGCAAGCAGTTGAATCTTTTCCAGGACTATTGTTTTACTTGCCCTGCTAGTCATACTTTTCAAGATAATCATTTCCTAATCGGTTTTCTTATCTTGCTGGGGAAGTCACATTTCCTTGTCTGTCTTTTCCTGGAGAGCCAGTGTTACAAAATTGACTTTTTCCCCATTGTGATATGTTTAAAAAGTTGAAAATGTCTTTATGCCAAAAGACCTTACCAGACTAAATTGCCTTTGCCACTTGGTTACACTGCGTATCTAGATCTCAGTGTGGCGGCTTTGAGCCAAGTTTCTTTTCCTGGTGGGTGATATAAATGAATACAATGGTCTGTATGGGTGGTTTTAAAAATTTTATTACAAAAGTGTGCCTGATGGATACTGGGATTGCTAAACAATAGTGATGCTATACGTCTACATTTTTTTTTTTGTCTTAAAACTCAAACTATAAAAAATATATTTGGATCGTTTAACTCTGTAACTCACAGGCTCATTCTTGCCGGACTTTCCAAGCTTTTGGGGGTTGTTGTGGTGTTTTGTTTCACCAAAGGCAAAATAATTATAGGAATAGAGATTGCTGTTATTTCCCATGATGTTTTTTGTTTGTTCGTTTTGCTTTGTTTTCTAATCTCAGTGATTTTGCCTGGAAATATCTCAGTGTATAATTAGAAATTTTCATTTTCTTTCTATTGTGATAATTTTAATTATTCCTTTGAACACTACTCCGAACAGCTACGTCTTTTCACTAATGTTGATACATTTCAAGAACTAGTAGGCTATCCTAGCTTAACCTCTGTCTTTGGCAGAGAATACACTTTTTAGTTTTGTATTCTCTGCTCCAGTAGGTAAGACTCCTAACAAGTTCTTTTGTTCTTTAGAAGGAGCTTTTTTTTTTAAAAAAAAATTGAGATGTAATTCATATACCATAAAATTCACCCTTTGAAAGTGTACAATTCAGTGATTTTGAGTATATTCACAAGTTTGTACAGCCTTCGCCACTATCTAATTCTAGAACATTTTCACCCTCCCACCTTACTTAGATTATAACTAGTAGATATCTATTTTCTTATTAATTTTACTCTTAGTTTCTTCTTTTTGGTCAATGTGTGAGAGTGAAAACAGTAAGACAGGAAACTCGATTAAAAGATTTGAGAGACATAATATCCCAATGCAATTTGTAGATCTGATTGGAAGACAACTACAAAAAGATGTGTTTTTTTTGGTGAGGAAGATTAGCCCCGAGCTAACATCTGTTGCCAATTCTCCTCTTTTAGCTGAGGAAGATTGGCCCTGGGCTAACATCCGTGCCCATCTTCGTCTACTTCATATGTGGGATGCCTGCCACAGCATGGCTTGATAAGTGATGTGTAGGTCCACACCTGGGATCTGAACCTGCGGACCCCAGGCTGCCGTAGCTGAGTGCACGAACTCAACCACTATGCTACCAGGCCAGCCCCCAAAAAGAAGTTTTTATCCATGGTCCCCACGCTCGCAGCTGCTAAATCATTTCAAAGCAGATTTTATATACGTATATACTTCAATATGTATTTCAACACCATTTATCGACACACCGTCCTTTCCCTCTCTTTATCATCATTTACTAGATGCCCATATACATGGGTCTGTGTCTGTCTTTTCTGTTCTATTCTAGCATTCATTTGTCCATTCCTATACCCGTACCACATTGTTTTATTTACCATAGCTTTATAGTATGTTTTGCTATCTGGTAAACGTTAGCTCTTAGTAGTAATAACATGAATTATAAAAATTACTGTTTAATCTTCACAGTTACTCTCTGAGGTAGGCAGTTTTATTCACTTCTACAGGTGAGAAAACCAGGAATGAGAGCAGTTAAGTATTGTGCTGTGTAGTACATGGCAAATCAGTGATGGAGCTAAAATCTGAGTCTGAGTTCTGACCTCAAAGTCCGGAACGTTGAAGCCTCGCTGGAGAGGGAGGCTGCTGTTTACAGGATTCTTTCTCTGTTGTTTGAGATCATTTACGTGGTGTTTTCTCAGATTTAATCTGCATTATAACTCCCCAGATATATTGAACTTCAATCTGTAATATTTTTTTAAAGCAGTTCCTCAGTTTCTCACCTTCTTTCTATATGAGTAGCTAGCTAAACTCGAAAAACATGCGTATTTTATTTTAAAATGTATTTGACTTTGTAAGTTGAATTTCAATATTAGCAATACCAATGTTTTTTTGTGGAAAAAAGGATGCCTTTTGGTCTCCCAAGTGAGTTTATGTATGGGACAAAACCTCTGTGTTTGAAAGTTAATATTTTTATATTTTGGTACTTTGCCATTAGATGGTTTATTGGAAAGACGTTTATTCCGTTTGATTATGCACATTGTGTTTTTGTCATTGCTGTAATTTATTAAATCACAATTTGTGGAGTTCATATGAAGTGAATCCAAAGTAAGCGGCAGCAAGAAGGGTGAACCAGGATGAGGGCTTCCAGACGTTGGCTCGTCTGGTCAGCTGCCGATATTCTAGGTTGTTCAGTGTAAAACAGAAATTACTCCTGTGAGGTTGAGAGACCTGTGGTAAGGATTTCTTCTTATTTAACAAAATGTATTGACCTTCAACAGTGCATTATGTAGTATGTGCTTTATTATATGTTAGGTTTATTAAGTGTTAGGTGCTTGGTAACCTTGATCCATCCATGCCTGACACACTTCCCAGCACATGGGATGTCCTTGGTTAATGTGTAATGATAGTGAGTAATGAATTGGCCTATAAGAGCCTTTAAACTTTGGAGTAAATTTCCACCCTACTCTATAAAGAATTATGAAATGTTTCCAAACGTTTGTGTTTATGAAATGCCTAAAGCACATCTTCAAAGCACTATCCCAAAAATGAGAGTTGGTTAATATTGGGGAAAAAATGGGGGAAATTGAAATACTATATATCTTTTTTAAAAATATTTTTTCATATGGGAAATATGTATCCATCATGTTATTTGTCTATAATAAGAAATTCCTGAAACACTATTTCAATTATTTTTATTTTTGGTGCTAATTAGGTATTATTTTTTTTAAGAGTGTAACCTCATAAACTGACAAGTTGCTTTTGCATGCTGTCTTTCATAGACTATTGCTCATTTAATTAAAAGTCTTTTGTGAGAAGTAAAAATTGGAAAGATAACTACTAGGCCTCTGAGTGTTCTCTTTCCTTCTTTCTCTCTCGTATTTATTAAAGATTTCTTTTGTTTTACCATCTCCCCCTGCCGCCCCCATTCTCCTCAATATATTTGCTTATTTGCTCAGTCCTAGTGTTTACACATAAAGTAGTTTGGGAATTGCTAACCCATACCCTTCTGATAAACAAATTCACTAACCAGAGTACAATATTGTGTACAGTTCTTTTTGTCTTTATCTTTACAAAATACTGTTTTCCAAAGTTACTTAGGTGAGTTTTTTCTTCCCTGTCTCGTACAGTGTGGTTACATTTTCCATCTGTAGCAGAGTTGGGTTACTGTTTGCATTTGTTTTGGGTTCCCCCCACGTTCTGGTTGAATTGAACTATTTATTTATTTTTGAGGGGATGTGAAACATTACCATGGTTCTGAGAGTCAGAACTATACAGAAGGGTATACTCAGAGAACTGTCATTTCCCCTGATCCCATTATCATTCCTGTTTCCCCCTTCTTCCATCCCATTTCCGCGTACCCCTGTAGGTAACCAATGTCATTGATTGCTGATTTTTCTCTCGTTTTTTTGTACTAATGAGCAGGTATATGCATGTTTTCTCATATCTTTCTTACATAAAGGGTGGCACATTCTAGATACTCTTTAGTACTTTGATTTAGTAATCTCATTATATGATTGTATTATGTACTTATTATATTTATTAATAATATATCCAGTTTATCCACTTAATATATCCAGGAATCACTCCTTATCTGTTCATAGATTATTTTTTCACGGCTGCATAGTACTCCATTGAGTAGATGTGCCATAGTTGGTTCAGCCATTCTATTTCTGGGCAGTCGAGTTGTTTCCAGTGTTTTGCAGCTACAAATTGCTGTGATGAATAGACTTGAGTGTTTGTGCTCTTGTATTGTGTATCTTCAGGGTAAATTCACAAGAGTGGGATTGCTAGGTTAAAAGGTAAGTGCATATGTTTTATTGTTAGGTATCACTAAATTTCCCTCCAGAAACGTTGCATCTGTCTGTCTTCTCACCAGCATTGTATGACAGTGCCTGCTTCCCCACGCCTTGCCAGCCAATGTGCTGTCATACTTTATTTTCCCCAATCCGATAGGTGAGAACAGTATCACTACAATTGAATTTACATTTCTCTAATTGTGAGTGAGATTGAACATCTTTTCACATGTTTAAGGGCCATTTTTATATCTTTGTCGTGTGCTTTACTTTGAAGAGTTGTATCTGATGCACACTTTGTTGTTGTTAGGTTATTCACCCTCAGCTTGCCAGGTCAGTAGCACTTTACAGATACCAGACATTGCTTTTCTCTTTCAGATCTTCCATGGTGGCTTATTTTAATTCGGCAGAAAGCATCAGTGGGCAAACTTCCAGGAGGTCATGAAGTCTGTAAAGTTACCAAAATTGCTGTGCTATCACTTTCTGAAATGGAACCTCAGGATCTTGAGCTAGAGGTAAGGTGAAGTCGCAGGAAATTTTGTGGAAACTTGATATAAATATGATAGTAAATATGAGAATTTGGTTTAATAGACCAGAATCATATAATTTTGGAGCTGGATAAACATCCTTAAAGTAGTTTAATCCTGTGGTTTTCAAAATTTATTTTAGTAGTGGAACTTTTGTTTCAGAATCTGTGAAATCTAGTATATAAGATACACAAAGCAGAGTTGCTCTGGTTGAGGTGGTGATGGGGGGAGTGAATCCTTGGGGCCCTGCCAGCTTGGCCCCTTCTGCCTCCAGGGAGCCCCAGGATTCTGCATAGTACAGCTTAAAAACTTTTTTTGGGGACGGGGGGGAGTCAAGAAGGTGAGACTTAACTTTTACTATATCCTCTTTTATCTGTATTTCTTGAGATTTTTCTAAGCGTATATTTCTTTTGTAATTTTTTTTTTAAGAAAGAAAAACCACTGATCTAGTGCGATCTTTTCATTTTCCAGGAGGAAACCAAGCCCACAATAGAGCGACTTAAGGCCAAAATAATGAGATTGCCCAGGGCCAGTGTTTTTCACACTGTGCCACCGTCTGGTAGAAGTAACCCACAAAAGCATTTGTATTGTGCCTGTTATCGGTGTGGGGAGGTGGCGTCTAGGGATGTCATTGCTCTGCCATAGTCCTAGCCTATTTAGATCACCATGTGATGTGCCAGGCAGGTCCTGAGGGTTACATGGATTATTATATTTAATCCCTCAGGCCACCATATAAGGTTAGGATCCATGTTGTACAGATGAAGAAAGGAGCCTTGGCAAGGATTGAGGCACCCAGCTCGTGTGTGGTAGGGTCCGAACCTGGACTCAGGCCCTCTGGCCCTGTAGCACTCTGCTGAGCTGTCTCCCTGTGACCTGAACAGCAGGTAACAGGTAACATAGCACCCAATGCCCCACAGCTCAGTACATGTTTTTCCAGGCTGAGTTTTTGGGGAGGAAGTTTGGTAACAGGGTTAAATTGTTGAAAAAACTAAGTAAAAATATAGTTATTTTTATGTTCAGGTTTTACTGGAAGTTTGACAATCTAATTTTAAGAAACCAAAATTAAAACGAGTTTAAGAGGACCTTGATATTCTATATGTTACAGGAATCCAAAAGAGAGTAGAGTATGTACTTCTTATTTCCTTTTATTGGCACTGGAGCCAGAATACTCTTCACTACTGCCGATCTAGAGACAAATAAATTAGCTGGCAATTAGGCCTGTTAAAAGCAAGTGCAGTCAGTTTTGGTTTGCATTTGATTTTAGGGAAGAGCAGCCAGACTAGCAAAAATTGTCTTAGTTTACTAAGCCCGTGAATTTGTCATCAGTGTCTTTTGAATGGCTTTGCTAGTAAATTGAAAGATCAGCATGGCTTTCTGTCATCAACCTTTGCCTTGAGGGTGAGGACCTCTTGGGCTGGCATTCTGGTTTGAGCGTTAAGCCTGGGGCCCTGGCAGTTAGATTTAGAGCCGGGGGCCCGCTCGTCCAGCACCGTGTCCACCTGTCAGTCATCAGTTTGTACATTCAGCACTCCCGACCCTGGGGGAATGAACTGTCACTCCTCATGCAGAGAAGCTTGGGACCCTCGTTGGACTTTTCAGGGAGGTGTTCTGATGCCCTTTGTGGCCACCAGTGTGTAACATTTTGACACTAGTAGCTGACAGTTGTATAAATGGAGAGGAGAAAAGCTTTAGGAAATAAGATTTACATGGAATTTTTAAACACAGAAATGTGAATAGCATGAAAGCTTAAAGAATTTTTTTATTCTTCAAACTTTTCCTTTTCTTTCTCTTGTTACTCTCAAGTGAAAGAGATGATCTTCAAATAGAAATGAAAATGAGATTGAGTATTTTTGCAGTACTATTGGACTGTATAAGCTACGGCACTTATCAGGGGCATTAAAGGTATAGTCTGTGTTAATTATTGAAGCTATGATGACCTTTATTAGTTAGGGGTGAATGTAATTACTGTACTGAGTGTATTTTCAGATCCTATTTTAGTGAATAGTTTGGTACACCTTTCTCTCAGGAGAATATAATTTTAGAAATTTGCATGTAAGCCTTTTTTCTCCCTCTTTTTTATCCTGTTTGGTGGTGAAGGCGCTTTACAACAGTGAACGATAGGAGGAAGGGCACAGAACAGCTACGTTGAAAATCACCAAGAGCTCGCTTATTTTGTGTCCTGTTAATTAAATCTTTGGTATCCTTATTTCAATTTCCATATAACTTTATTTAAAAGGAGCTCTTAAAAGCTTAATTTTTGTTTTTTGATTATACGGTAAATTATACATGAGGAAAAGGAAAAAATCTCACCACTTAGAAATAATCATTGTCAATATTCCAGTGAGTTTTAATGGTTGTTTCCACCTGCCCTAAGCTTTTTGGAGGACCACTATTACTTTCAAATTACCAGAATAGTTGTTATTTTCCGCATTTTTACATATTTTTTTCCTACTTAACCCCTATTTTTCATGAACATACTTTTTATACAGGTAAGAAGACTTTTTTAAACAACACTGATGCTTGTGTCGTCTCGGTGTGTCTTTCTGATTTGGACACCCGTGTGTCACTCTGCATACCCACTGCTTTTCATCCTTCCCCACTGGGACCCTTGGGCTCTCTAGCGTGGCCACTGTTCTCACATTTGCTAGGTCCTCGTCCATCTTCTGTAATTGGAGCAGAAGCAATTTTATTTCAGTCTGGAATTAATAGAATGTCTAGTTTTCTGCCTTAGTTGCCTTTTTACCTCAAGTATATGGCTTGCTTGTCAGTTTTTTTTTATAATTCACATACGACTATACAGTTCACCCATTGAAAGCATATAATTCAATGGTTTTTAATTTATTCACAGTTTTGTGACCATCACCACAATCAGTTTTAGAACATTTTCATCACTCCAAAAAGAAACCCTGTGCTTACTAGCAGTCATTCATTTGCCTTCAAACCCTAGCTCCCTCAATCCTAGGCAACCACTAATCTACTTTCTGTCTCTATAAATTTGCCTATTCTGAACATTTCTTATAAATGGAATCATACAATATGTGGCCTTTTGTGACTGGCTTCTTTTACTTAGCAGAGTGCTTTCAAAGTTCCATGCTTGCTGTAGTATATATATTGGTACCTCATTCCTTTTTATTCCATTATATGGACAGACCATGTTTTATCTTTCCATTCATCAGTTGATGAACATTTGGGTTGTTTTCACTTTGGGGCTGTTATGAATAATACTGCTGTAAACATTTGTGAACGAATCTTTGGTGGACATTGTTTTCTTTTCTCTTGGGTGTAAACCTAGGAACAGAATTGCTGGGTTGTATGGTAATTCTATGTTTAACCTTTTAAGGAACTGCTAGACTGTTTTTCAAAGTAATGTGCCATTTTAAAAAAATGATCTATACAAAGGTATGAAGAATCTGTGGAGTTCAAATAAATGAGAACATAGATCTTCTTTCTTTTGAAAAAACATCCTTTAAAGTTTTATAGGCTTGTGTTCCATGTCTGCATATCTTATGTGCTGTATCTCATTGCCTAAATAGATAACCGCATCATTTTCCATACTTAGTTTCCCATTAGACATCTGTTTAAAGTTTTAACTCCAGGTGGACATAGATACCAACTTTTAAAGTAAAATCATTTATTTTCCTTTTCTTTAACAGCAGCATCAGCTGTTAATCTTGGTTGTGAAACGTAAGTTGCTAGAGTGAGAGAACAAGGAGGGGAGCACCGGGGTGGTGGTGTTCTTTTTGAGGTCCTGTGTATCAGAGTTGTGATAAGAACCAGAGCCTGTGCTATCAGAACTGGCTGGGCCTCTGGAAAAGGGAAGGTGACCCCACTGTCAACACTACATGTTGTAATCCCAAGAGCTCTGTCTAAACAAAGCATCTTAGGACTGGAAGGGATCTCGAGAAGTAATTTTCTCTATCCCTGTTTTTTGGTAGGACTGAATTTAACCTTTTTTTTAGAACCACTCAGCAAAATTAAATTCTGGTTTATTGTTGGGCAACATTGTTTCACACATAGATGAAACAGGCCAAAAAATATAAATAGCAATTTCATAGACAAAAAACAGGAAAAAAAGAAACCCTTTGACCTTTTTAACCATCTCATGCATACCAACTACTTGTAGTACAGCTAAGTAGATACACACAATAAGTTACTGATGCTCAGAACTGAATTTAACCTTTTTAAAAAGATAGTGGTCTATACTTTCTTTTCTAAAGGTAACTATATGGAAGATTCTAAAATATCCATTGAAAATGTTTATATTTAAAGTAGTTTTAAATTTCTGTTTAGAAAAAAATGGTTTTAAGAGACAGAGACTTCCAGACAAGATGGCGTAGTGAGTTTGTGCTTTGCTATACAGATCACAATCCTTATCTGAAAACTTTGGGGCCATATGTGTTTTAGAAGTCAGGTTTTTGGGGGTTTTCAAAAGGTTATTCCATGTATTCTATTTGTACCCAGTGAGTCTGGGGTGTTACCCCACAATACAGCACGTTAAGTTTCTTGAAGGTTATATGAATATTCATACTAGGGGAGGTAAATGATGACTATCAATAGCTTCATATCACTTCAGGGCATATTTTGCCATTAAATGAGTTTGTAACAAACTTGAAAGTAAATTTTCAGGTTTTAGAGTTTTTTGGGTTTTGGAGTTGTCGATAAGGAAGTTAAGGGATATTGGGCCTATATCAACTCTGTTCTAAGCCCAGAAAGGATAGATAAAAAAAAAAAAGGAAAAAGAAGACATTGCCAGGCCTAGAGAGAAGCAGCGTCTTCATGGACTGTAAATGGAACAGTAGACGGAACTGAGACCATAGGCTCCTGGATTCGGGATCCAGAAGCAGACAGTGGCAGGTGGAGATTTGGCCCCTACATGGTAAAGGGAACTAAAAGGGCTACATGGGAGATGGGGGCCTGGAGCCATGCTCAATACTTGAAGCCTGGTGCTGGAGTGAGGCTCCCCAGCTCATGCAAAGGAGGCTGGTAGGTTGTCTGCACAGAGTGGGATAATCATGCATAAAAAATGCTCCTGTCTGTTAAGCCAGTAGCACTTCCCTTGAGAAACACTGATCTGGGCAAAAGGTAAAGGATCTGAATTAACACAATAACAATCAGCATGAAGTAGTTGGGGTCGATAGGAGAGATTTTAAGAGGAGAGATTTTAAGAGGAAGAGTAATGGAAGATGCCTCTAAGGTTTCTTGCGTAAGTGATCCAGTGGGTGGTATAGTCATTGCCTGAGATAGGGCATACCAGAGAAGGAACAAGATTTGGGAGACAGATGTTGATCAGTTTTGGAGATACTGAATTTGAGGGACTAGTGTGTCAGTAGTGGGGAGATGTTATATTTTTGGATCATGAGATCAGAGCAAAAGAATGGAGTTAGAAATGTGGAGTTAAACATAGTGGTAGTTAAAATGAGGAAAGAGTATGAAATTTTCTAGACAGAGTGTGAAGAACAGGAAGAGAGCTAAGGATAGAACCTTGGGAACCACCATAATCTTTAGAGACAGAACGAGATGCCAACAAAGAAGACTGAAAAGGAACAGTCAGAGGTGGAGAAGAACCTGGAGAGAGTGGTGTCATGAGGACCAGAGGAAGAGATGGCAGGGGGTGATCATTAGTGTCTTACTCTTGGAGATAAGGTTTATCCTTTTCAGAGTTGAAGAGGCCCTTGTTTTACTCTGCCTGAACGCTTTCATTGGGCCTTCACTCTTTGACCTACTCCAGTCAGGCTATTTGTTGCTAGTGTCGTTGAGTGGATTCTGACTCCTAGTGACCATGTGTACAGCAGAATGGAACCTTGCCTGGTCTTTTTGCACCATCCTCTAACTTCCAGTGCTGTATCAGACAATGCTCCACTGCTACTCATAGGGTTTTCATCGCCAATTTTTTCAGAACTGGGTGGTCAGGTGCTTCTTCCTAGTCTGTCTTGGTCTGGAAGCTCTGCTAAAACCTGTCCACCATGGGTGACCCTGCTGGTATTTGAAATACCAGTGGTGTAGCTTTCAGCATCACAGCAACATTGCAGCTGCCACAGTATGACAACCAATAGATCGGTGATGTGATTCCCTGACTGGGAAACAAACCCAGGCCGAAGCAGTGAATCTTAACCACTAGACCACCAGGGCTGGCTAATCAGACTATAGTTCTCACAATTCCAGCGACTGTGTCACTGTTTGTACCCTGCTAACTCACAGAGAAAATTCCAGGGTTGAGGAATGGATTAAAAAAAGATTCTGGTAAACTTGGATAATATTAAAAGGTGGTAGGAAAGGGGCTAATTGGGGGAAGGGTGGGGGATGATGGGGCAAGGTCTTGATCCTAGAAGAGACACAGCAGGAAACCAGCCTTGCAGGGAAAAACAGCTCCCCTCCTCTAAGAATGAGGAAAGTGTGGGTGCAGACTAGGTATGCTGCTAGAACATTACTTTAGAATAGCTAGATCTTTAGAATTGTCTTTCATATATTCCTGGGGGGAGAGGGGGATTTTGCTGGCTTGAATGCTCTTTTTTTTTTTTAAATTAATTAATTAATTAATTTTTCCCCCAAAGCCCCAGTAGATAGTTGTATGTCATAGCTGCACATCCTTCTAGTTGCTGTATGTGGGACGCGGCCTCAGCATGGCCAGAGAAGCGGTGCCTCAGTGCACGCCCGGGATCCGAGCCCGGGCCGCCAGCAGCGGAGCGCACGCACTTAACCGCTAAGCCGCGGGGCTGGCCCTTGAATGCTCTTAAGGAATAACTATGTCTGACAATGTATAATATCCTGTTTTGGATATTAAAATTGTAGCAATCGATAACTAGGTTTGGGGCATGTTTTCAGATGTTTTAAAGAAAGTGTTATTAATGGGACTAGATAATTAGTAACATTCTATGTAAAAATGGCTAACCAACAATTGCGCAGTGCCACAAGCAGAAGCAGCAGCAGGGGACTAAAGGGAGAGTATCTTAAAACTCCTTCTCTGCTACCCCACTGATTCTGCACCAAGGAAGGTGGGGATGTATGAGGTGTATTCATGGAAGAGGGGAGTGATGGTTTTCCCAGGACTACTTACATGCCTTGTGTGTGAATCTGGAAGTTGCCACTTATATTTGTAGCATCAGAGCCCATTCATTCATTTAGCAAATATTTATCGAGACCTCCTATGCCAGGTACTGCTAAGGCACTAGAAATATATGAGTCAAAAAAACAAAGATCCCTGCCATTTTGGAGATTACATTATAGTGTGTGTAGGGGGGACAGACAATTAACATCAACATCATAATTATATTATGTCATATATTGGGAGGTAGTAAATGCTATGGGGAATAAAAGTTGACCACAGTGAGGGTTGGAGAGGGAGTGGCCAGGGTTGGAGATTGTGGTAAGGAATCTGGGGAGAGGGTGTCTGGGCAGAGAGAACAGCTAGAACAGAGGTCCTGAGGTGGAAGTGTTCCTGACGTGGTGAGGAACAGCAAGGAGTGGAGGAAACAAGGGGAGGAGAGTAGTGGGAGATGAAGGCAGTGAAGGGACGATGAAGGTCTAGTTTGGGACTTGTTGAGGTTGAGTAGAAATGTTGGGATTTGTGATGCTAGAATTTGGTGAGAGAGCTGGGCCGAAAACATACATTTGGGAGGGAGAGGTTGGCATATAGATGGGATTTGAAGCCGTGAGACTGGATGAAATCACTGAGGGAGTGAATGCAGGGAGAGAAGGGGCTCAAGGACTGAACCTTGGGATGCTAAGACAGTAAGAAAGTCAAATGGTCGGAAAGGAAGCGGTGAAAGAGGTAAAGAGTGACGAGTGGCAGCGGAGTGAAGACGGTGTATCAGAGAGGATGAGGGAGTGATGAATTGCTGTCAGCAGTGTCTATATGCTTTGTTCTTCTGTCCTTCCCCATCAACTCAAGGTCTTGTTACTTTTGTTTTTTTGAGGGGAAATTAAATTAGCTTAGTTTTGGCAGGACAACTGTAAATATGTTTCACTTCCTCTTTAGTTCCCTTGTTGTCACTGGTAGGGCAGGAGCAGTGTAAAGTTGTAATCATGTTGTGAAACCCATGTGAGTAGAGTTTTTGATTATAATAGATAGTTTTTGATTATAATAGAGCCATAATTTTGAAAAGGCTTAAAATCCATAAGATTCCATTACATCTGAATATTTGGACCAATTATCAGTCTCCATTTTCAGTTTTTTCCTCAGCTGTATTGGGATATAATTGACAAGATTGTCCACTTCCAAATTTGATTAAAACAGGAATGCCCCCCCTTTTAAATTTTTTTAAATCAGAGCTTGAACTAGCTTTTGTTCTCCTCATTAAGGTTTTTTCCCCCCATCCTGTTTATTGTCTAGTAATAGTTATTTTGTAAGTAAGACACTAATAATAAGCTTTTAGTAACTATTAGCTCTTAACAGGAATCTACCACTTGGTGTAGCAATGAAACTAGTGTTGAACAAATGGAATTAGTCTGCATATGGTTAACAGAATCCTTGTGTACCTTTCTGAGTATTTGCTTTGTGTGTTGAGCCACATGAAATTCTGTGTAAAACCCTTGACTTTAACCAGGTAGTCATCTCTAGAACCTCTGTGCCCTTCTTTTGTCTTAACACGTTCCCATCCTCTTTCTCCCTTTGTCAATTGGAATGCACGTTTCCTTGCGGTCCCTACTTACTGCTTCTTCAAATTTAACTAACCTCTGGACTCAAAGAGTATATCTTTATGCTGATTTCATTAATGTGTGTGAGGATAGGAGGAGAGAGAGCTGTTGAAATGTCCAGCTTTTAAGATTCCCGATAGAGCAGACTCTTGACATCTTCTCAACCAAAACACTCAGTTAACTAGTGTGAATGAGTATTTAGCACCGATAGCTGTAAAGTAATGCCCCTGAAGCATAGCAAATGTGTATTTTGCAATGTTTTTAATCTTAAATGCCAATTTCAAAGCATTAATAAACCTCAACCAGAGCATTTTATTCTTCAGTTATATTAGATAAGAGCTTATTATGATTACAATCCTAACCTGAATTTTCTGCCCCTAAATCTTAAGTGTATCCTGTCCTGAATTCTTGTTTATCCTCTTCTGTAGCTTTCTAATCATTGAAACCACAGCTGTGTTTTCTTTTCTTTTTTTTTTTTTTTAAGGAAGATTAGCCCTGAGCTAACATCCATGCTAATCCTCCTCTTTTTGCTGAGGAAGACCTGCTCTGAGCTAACATCTATTGCCAATCCTCCTCGTTTTTTTTTTTTTTTTTTTTTTGCCCCCAAAGCCCCAGTAGATAGTTGTGTGTCATAGTTGCACATCCATCTAGTT